ATACAAATAACAACAAAATGACCAACTAAATAAATAGTTTTTGTTACCACACACGCACATGCACACAGATAGAGGCAGACAGGAAGTGGGCTGTGTGTTGGGGCTGCGAAATAAAACTCAGTTTTATGTGTGCGTGCAAATGGAAAACCCTATACTCAATGGGCTTCAAATGATTGTGTGCGTGTGTCTAAATCTAAAACTTTAGTTTTAGTTAGATGACAACAAAGCTGCTAAACTTTAAATGAATGAGTGAAAGTCATTTAATTAGAGCGGAAAAACGATTGCTTAAGAGTAAATCGTTAAAGTTAATGTGAAATGTTGAATTGCTTGTCAAAGCTTAAATTATGAATTAGCAAAACAAACTTGTGAAGAGCATATGTGAGTGTTTATATTTTATTTGATTAAGACAATTTTAGCAATATGTGTAGCAGGATGTTTAATATATTCACCTTTTGAAGCGCCAGAAGGAGGACACGAAGCTGTTTAAAAATTCCACTCGCTAGCAAATAGTTTTTTATACCTCAATTACTTAGTGTAGTCTGGTGACATTTGTGGTCTTAAATTCCTGATAGAGTATAAAATGCCTCAACGTCTCTTAACGTTTCATTTGTACATGTGATTTATTTCAAGCAGCTCATCTTTATGCCCTACAAGGCGGGGAATTATCATTTTGTCAGATAAGATGTGCAACCGCATTGAAGAAGACAGACCCGTATATTAAGTTATGTTTTATCTGATCGAGATATTGATTAAATTGCAAATCGATTTTTACTTTGGACAGGATATATGTCAGAGTTGGCCAGACATGACCCTATATCAGACAATCGAGTCGAGTCTAATTAAATCAAAATGTGTTTTCAATACTTGTAAAGGTCATTTGATATTCGGTGACCCAAAGAAAACTCTTTTGCCTTGGTACAGCTCTCTCACTCACGCTGGCTGTCTGTGTAGTCTCATTTTAACCCATTTGCTTTCATTCCTACTTGATATAAAGACAGCGTTGACGCTGTCGCTGCTGCTGTTGCCTGGCTGCATCGTAAATCCTGGCAAAAATATATATCGCATACAATACAATATATACTTATAGAGAGACGTGGACCACACACACACGCAGACAAGATGCAAGATGGGGCAAGCAAGCGTATTATTGCTTCAGTTTTTAGGTCGCAGCACAATAAAATAGCTCAACTTGATGATGGAGCAAAACTGTTCGCTGTGTGTGTGTGTTTCTGTGAGTTCGTGTGTGGCATTAGATAGAGCCAACAGCAGCTCAGCACCTTATCCCCCACGCCCCTTACTCATTCTAACTACTTGTGTTGCAACAAATGCAACAAAGCTGCTTATCGTTTAACGCTCAGTGTAATGCGTTTAAACTTGATGATTGATTCCGGAACCCCGACCCGCACCCCTGCAGCTAAGTGCAGAGTGTTAGCTATAAGGTGTGTGTGTGTGTGTGTGAGTGTGTGTGTATTTGTTTCTTGGTCAAAACTTTAATGGGAACTACTAGACCCACGGCCTGTGGCTTTGGTCTATGGATAATGCCCGGCGCCATTGTTCGTTCGTTTTATGTTGTTGCCTGCGTTTTATTGACTACGATGGTGGCAACGATGGCCGCCATTGTGCCCTAAAACTAAAACAAAGTACCGTTAGAAGCGTTTCATACCATATACATATATATATATGTAGCACTCTCTATACATACACACATATGATGGGTACGTGTGTGTGTGTGTGTGTGTTTGGTAGTGTTCGTTATGGCTCGTTATGTGCGTGCGTGTTACTGCGCAAAGATGGCTCATAAATTTCGCGCATTTTCGCCTTCAATTTTTTGTTCTCTTTTCGACAATTTTTGTATTTCTATCTACTATACTCTGTTGCCAAAAGCATGCAGAGTATATTCGTGTTGTGCCATTGAATAGCATGAACCAAGATTAGGCAACAGATGGCAGCTGCCACAATTCACCAGTATTATTTTTTTTTTCCCCAGAGAGAGTAAACTACTTATTTTTAATCACAAAATTTGAAATCTCATTTAAACTTAAGTTTCATTTGCAAACTAGTTGGAACTTTGGTTTTATAATTGAGATTTTTTCAAGTTGGATTTAAAATGATGCCTATTCCGATCACAAATCAAAATCCCAAGCCTTCCCTTCGGCCACTCAATATCTTGGAAACAGGGTATTGCAAATTTGGAATATTTACAAAACGTTTTTTTTTTAGCTTTTTTTTCTATATTTCATTTTGTTTTTAGGTATATTGCACAATTATTTTTGGCTGCGCAAAAGTTTTTTGCGTTTCGACGTCTTTTTTCTAAATTTAATGGCTCTGCCAGCACTTGGCAAGTAAATCAAATTGTTACAGTTATTTTGGAGGGAACTGTTTTTTTTTAGCTGTCGTTTAATTTAATTATATGTTCCTAACTGACATTTGAAATGTGTAGCGGAAGCGATTGCCGCCGTACTGCTCCCCAGATTTTTGAAGGCAAAAACTCTGTCAGGTTCAATATTTATGAGCACTAATTAGACCAAAAACGACTCGCAGGCAGAGTCTCCACATGAGAAGCGCCGCAAAATCAAATTGAAAATGATGCACACCAAGCAACAGAATCAACTTTACACGATTGCCACAGGAAATCAAAGGAAACGAACTGGAAGAGGGGGCAGTGGTCGGAGCTGAGGCCGGAGCTGGGGCTGGGACTGTCAGGAAGGCAGAAGTGAACTTCCGCAGTGCAGGCAGCCGAATTCATAGCCAAAATGCTAAGATGAAAGAACCATGAATTGAACTACAAGCAAATACATTTTTATCACAAATGCAGATAGACACGAACAAACCGAAATTGTATCGCGGGAATGTGTGCGTGTGTGTGTGTGTGTGTGTGTGTGTGTGTGTGTGTGTGTGTGTGTGTGTGTGTGTGTGTGTGTGTGTGTGTGTGTGCGTGTGTGTGAGTATGTGTTTGCCTGCGTGTGTGTGAGCTGCGTGTAAATATAGCCGAAATATGCACATATTTCTGGTAGCTACGTGTTCTCAATTACTTTTTCTCTAAAAAATTCAAGGTGTAGAACTGTTCAAATAAGTTATTTAATTTCTGCTCGAATTCGTTGATAAAGTTGCAAAAAGGTTTTTTAAGTCGAGTCTTGTTTTCTAAAAGGTTACCTACTTAAAAATATGTAACTAATATCTTATTTATCTATCAAAATTAATATGATCATATCATATTTTCTATTTTGCATCTTGAAAAATCTAAAAAAAATTGGTTTTAAAAGGACAGGAAAAATAAGTATTTTATATAAATTGAAATCTCCATTCGATTTACATATTTTTTTATACATTTTTAGGTTATATTATAAATGTCATTGTGAGGTATTGTCGTATACGTGATAAATGTTTAGTAGAAAAAATTTTTATATGTTATTTAATTTTTTATATTTAATGATATAACTTTTCTATACATTTTGAGTATCTGTCTTTCATATATATTATTTTATATTTTTTTATTTTACATGATATACTTATTTTAATATTATTTTATATACTTGTCCGTTGTCTATTGGCAAATACGAGGCGAAATTGTTTCGTAATACGCTCACATACAATGTATTTCACAAGGCCAAGAATTTAAGAACGTTTTATTGTATTCAAAGAATTTACGAGCCGAACGACAGTTGAAAACTGTTACTGTAGACCGTGACTGTAAATGCCAATGCAGCTTTTGCATGCATACTTTTATTTTTTGGGCACTCCCGCACTCCGCTGCAGCTGACCGCAATGCACACGCGTAGGCTTATCCCAGGCATTACTCGGGCGGCACTTCCATTTCCACGTATTCACATTTGTGTATATACATATATATGAATTTTTCTTTACTATTTTGATTTTCCCAGCGCCAGTTGGACGTCAGACTTGATGATAAAATGCTGGGTTACGGCTCAGGTGGCCTTAACACTTGTTTAAAAATTTGTTATTGGGTTTCTTTATTCGCGTGGTTTATTTGTTGTGGGTGCCCATGCAGCATCGACCTCTCGGATATGGGGCGCTCTTGTCACTGAGCGTTGGCTTTATCGGATTCCACGTAATATTACTGACAAATTGAATACAATTGCGTTTAAGCTGAAAAGCTCATTAATGAAATTGGATAGCGGCATTGTGCCAATCGGAAATTAAGGTCGCAAAATTAATTTCAAGCAGCATATGCAGCAAAAAAAAAAAAAATAAAACCAAATAAATCCTCGAGTAAAAGATACTCTGTAGTCAAAAACAAAAAAAAAAAAAAAAAAATTGATGTAATCGGTTTTGACTTGACTTCGTATTGGAAAATATTAGTTGAGTTTGCTTCTGATTTTCCCCTGACTATGCAAGATTTTTCATATGACTGACATTTATCAATAATCGATTGTTCTCGATTTGAAAGAACTGAAGAAAATTTGACTATGCTATGCTAAAATCATTGAAAAAATCGATATTTTTTGCTTTGGAAGATCCGAATATGTCCGTACAACAATATATATTATACCCTTTTCATACATTTTCAATGGGTAATATAAGCAAACAGATAAAGTTGGTTGGCTGCAAATGCCAAGAACCCTTCCACAAAAATTTTAAGCTGTTTGGGTTTTTCCATTACGAGATAAACTGGTATCAGCTTATTTTTGTAAATTAAACAGAAGTAAACTTCAAAAAGTCAACAGATTCATAAATTAATTATATTAGCAAATTACCTTGTTTGATAAAAATTCAATGCTTGCCATGTTGAATGACTTGTTAATACTTACATATATGTGTGCATAAATATAATGGTATATAGATATAGTTTTTACAAGTAACAACAATAATTGATTTTCAAATATATATATAAATGGATATCAATTAATGTTGATGGAAGCTGATATATCGCTAAGTCTACTCTGATATTTGTATATATATATATATTTTTTATCATTATCAAAACACACGATTAAATTTAATTTATCGATATTTCTGTTTTCATTCCAGACAAACTTTATATAAATTTGGTGAATTCAAAAGAAATTCATGTATATAAATATCGATAATTTGACTTTCGATGCCTACTTTCCCATGCAGGTATGTTAAAAAGTGTATATAACTTCTTGTGGGGTATAATTGAGTCCACTTGCTATGCAGCTACACTTTATAACCACAAATATATCCTTAGTTAAATTTTACCTTTTGAATTTATGTTGCTGCTTGCTAAGCGCCACATATGAACTAATAGCTTAAGAAGCGGAAAGGCAGACAACGAGTTAAAACCAGAGCCAAAAACAACAAGTAAATTAAGTTAATTACAAGCAAATGAAATATGAGAAAAGTTTGCATTCAAATGTTGCAAATGCTTTTAAGCAAAGTTGAGCGTTGCCAAGGACGACCACTGGATGCCCGCAGCTCTTTTCAGTGCTTAGTCTGGCTGTCATCAGTAGACGCTGCTGCTGCAGCTGCTGTGGTTGCTCTTGTTGCTGTTGTTGCAGTTGTTGTTGTTGTTGTTGTTGCTGTTGCTGTTATTGTTGTGGTGGTTGTTGTCCCGCCCTCGAACAAGTTGCATAATATTTGCGTATTAAATTGTTGAGAGCCGCACACGTTTTACACTTCAGCAACATTTCCGCCCGTTAAATGTTTGGTCATTACAGTGGCATAAAATCATTTTGTTGCTGAATTTTAAATGCCAACAGCAGCCCAACCAAGCAGCCACCCACGGGCAGCACCACCACCAACATAGACGCATAACAGCTGCGCGTTATTTTAATGAGAATATTCATTGGAGCCACAATTGAGACAATCGAAAGTGGAGTCACGTGAATTCGCCAGCTAACCCACATCCTTCCAACCATTTACTGCGACCTCTGCCCACTTTCATGGCGGCTGCGTGCGGTCCGTTGCGTGGAGTTAGTAAAAGATTGGCCGCAGCTCTTGCCGGTTATGGCAGCCGGTAGCAACAGCAGCAACAGCAACAACAGCAGCAACAGCAACAACAGCTATAGCAGCACTTAATGTAATGTAATTTTATGCTCTCGGTTAATTATTCAGCGAATTTTCTGCGGGAGCGATACTTGCGGGCGGACACAAGTGCAATTTGATGCCAGAATGTGTGGGTGTACTATTTATTTACATGTGTATACGCTGGCTGATAAAATATTTTGTCGAATATTTGACTATTTGCAAGTTGGGAAAATTTTGCAAAATTAAATCGTTTACATACGAGAGAAAAAATCAAATATTTGGCTGTCAAGCTGATTGATTACCAACGCACAAATGCAAATAATTAAGGCATTTTCGCATGAAACCATCGAAAACTTACACCAATGTTTGTGGAATATTGGTGAAAAACAGAAAAATAACAGAAAAATTAATTTTTTTACAAATTTGATAAAAACACAAATATTTTCGTTTAAATATGCTCAATACTTATACCAGAGTATTTTCTCCTTCTACCTGCAAAGATGGAAGAAGGGTGGGAAAGGTGATAGATTAAATATGAAGTCAAGCACTCGGTTCGTTTAATACCGGATAATATCTGATTATATTGCAATGCTCATTTCATTTCTTTTAAAAGCAAAAATTGTATTTTTGTCGCATTGTGTTGAACATTTTGTTGCCTAATTGATTTTATCTTGTGAATTCTTGTGAATTTGTTTTTATCTTACGCTCTCTTTGCGAATACATTAGGAGATTTTGCAACATTTAATTTCTAAATTTAGCCAATTTTTCCTCAGTCACGCTCAAAGTTTCGCACAAATTTGGTACTTTGATTTCAAGTCGCATTTGATGTGTTGTATCATTTGAATCCGGACGTCTTTACATTTCTTACATGCAAGAATATGAAATAATTGTTGAATGTTTTCGCTCGTTTAACACACACATTTTGGGATCATTTATGTACCCACATAATGTAGATATTATTTCGATTGTAAATGCCATTGAATTTAAATTCAATTATTTCAACCATTTATTTTAATAGGTATTTGCAGAGCAACACAACATTTAGACATTAATTATGCAACATTTTAAATTGATTTCAACTTTGTTAGAAAACCACAAAAAATAAAGGGACTGACACACAGCGCAATAAAATCCGCACTAAGCCTGGTCTCAAAATGCGCGGCCAACTCTTGTCGGGAGCTGCAAAAAAAGTGTCCTGTTAAGGGCCATAATTTAAAGCAACGCCTCGTATATGGCAGGTGCGTGGACTTTGGCCAGAGCTGCATTAAACAACAACAACTAAAAAAAAGGCAGGCATTTAGGCTATAGCTGGTGGCCACGCCCACTGCCGTGGGTTGCTGCTGCAAAATTAAAAGCAAATTTCCGACACTCGAAGAGCGCAACCTCATCCGCTGGCTTGGCGTTGTCCTGGCAGTTTTACGAGCCGGCTTTAAAATCACGTTAATGATATTTACAGCGGCGGTCGTTGAGAACTGAGCTGCAAATTCGAAACTGGAGCAGCCAAGTGAGGGTTGGCTCCAGCGGACGGACTGGCGGATGGTGGGGTGTCGGGGAGCCGTCGGTCTGGCCTGCACAGCAGAGCCAAAGAGGGTAGGGCGATGGCGGCTGCCTTTGACCAACGCCTGGCCAAAGTCTCTTTGCCATGGTGTTAACTGTGTGAATTTTGCGTTGCCGGCGCAAGTCATTTGCATAACAAAGTTGACCACGCCCACACAGCAGGCAACGCCCACGCATCTACTTTTCTGTTGGTATTTACAACATTTAAATTAGACATTAAATTTGAAAGATGGGCTGCCGAACAACTTTGCCCCTGCTGCTGCCGTTGCTGCTGCTGCGGCCAGGTGTATGGTTGACTTTGCTTTTTTATGATACCCCTTACCGAATTTTATATTTTTTAAGCTGCAGATAATTTGGGGCGAAATGCTGCCCTTGATTTACTTATTTACTTTATTTTTATGGCACTTAAATGGCACTTGGCGTTGTTGTGTGTAATTTGGCTTTGTTCGCCAGTGTTTTTTTCTTACTTTTGTTGTGCTTGATTTGCAGCTGATAAGCGTAATTTCTCTTTCGCCCCAGTTAGTAGCTATTTTTATTTCGCTTGTTTTTGTTTCTGTCTGCTGTCGACTGTTGTTGTTAACGACATTTTGGCCAGTTCATATATTAACCTATTGGCAAGAATTACGCGCGATACACAGTAGTCAGCCCGACAGTTGAGCCCCGTCTTGAGCTCTCTCTGAGATTTATGGCTATTGCAATTGCAAAGGCTGTTCACATATATTTTTAATAAAGCCGGGTCCTTGGAAATTTATGTTATCACCCGAAAAAGTTACACTTTATATGGGAAAAAATTGCTAAACTTTAAACGCAAAAATTGATAGTTTGATGCCAATTTGTAGCAAAAACGAGAAAGGATATTTTCGGCACAGCAAATACAAATAATAATTCGGTCATCAAAACAAATGATAATGATTATTTTTTAATGATTTCATAATGAAAATTGAGTGGAATTGCAACTTCGAAATATTCAATTTAAAAAAAATGCCCTCCAAATGGAGCAATATATTTGTCTAGCGTACATACCGTAAACAATTTGCAATTCTGCATTTTGTTGGCCAGCTAAAGCTCTTCCAGCAATACAACTCACAGCTTATCAATTTACAAAATGTTCTTGCCCTCGGCGACGTTTGCTCGTGCACAGTCCTCATTGTTGGGGCGATTTCCTTAACATTTCCTTTGGGCAGCTGGGCACCTGCTGCTTTGCCAACTTACTTCAGGCTGGCTGCTTGCAATTTGCCACCTACCACCTACCGGCAGTAAAATGGCCAACTTAAACAGATTTTGTGGCACAAAATATGCCTACTTATGGCCATTAGGACTAAGAGCTCAACAAAATACAAGAGCCGAGAGCTCAAATTAATTTTCATACAAAATGTATAACGCGCTTGTGAGTGCTATGAGGGAGAAATTGGGCAAAGGGGCAGCAAACAGTGGCAACAATAAATAAAAACAACAACGTGCCACAATATGCCGCAACAACGGCAGCAACAACAACAATATAACTGAAAAAAAAGTAACAACAATGAAATCAGCACATTTGGTTTTAACGACTATGTGAGGTTGTATATTTATTTATTTTTTTCTTGCGCTCTCTTAGAAGATGCTACAGATTCCTTTTATATTTTCGGTATCATTTCTTTTTTTTTTTCGTTGTATTTGTTGCTTTTTAATGTGCATTTGCGCTGCCGGCGGCGCCAACGTCGCCATTTGAACATTCCTACATTACAAACGTCACGCAAACATTTGGAATGAGACAAGCTTCTTTGTGACTCTTGATTTTAATGGAACTGACAATAAAAGTATGATGAATATCCTAGAGTGTTGGCAACATATTGTAAGAAGCTTGTAGGTAAATGTCTAAAGACCTTTTGGCCTCAATAGTTGTGCAAATATTTTGCATATTTGGGCTAAGTGCCCTCTTTTTCACTCTTCATATATATTTTGCTGCTTGTAATTGCATTCCATGGTTCATTCTAATTAAAAGTAGCGTATATAAAACTTAATTCTAGAACCGCACAAACAATATACTCACTAATCTTTTATAACTCGCGAGTTTTACAAAAAAATAAAAATATTTATTCATTTAATGTGCTTTAAAAGATATTCTAAAGCTTCAAAATATAATGGCAACGAGTCAAAGCTTTAAGTTAACTTTTATGCTTGTAATTTGTATGCTGAAGAGAGCTTGAAGCTTCTTGAAGTGTCGAAGTTTTTAATCTATTCGCTCTTAAAGCTCTACACTTTAAGCAGTTTATTTTGTATGAGCTTATAAGCTTTTAGTATTAGACTCTCATGAGGATTATCTGAACACAAAGTTTTAATTTACAAGCTGCTTGTTAACTTACAAATGTTTTGTTATAATGTTCTGAAGAGCATTGCAAATTCGTCTATACTCAACCTGATTATATTTTAGTGTTGCCTTTTATTTTTGTGTTGTTGCCATCTTTGTCTGTGAATTTAAGCAGCTGATTTTCTGCCTGCAAACAGATGAGGCCAACATCGTTTCATATCCGCTTTTGGAGCAGACAACAAAACCCAAAACCAGCTCCTCTTCCTCCACCCACACGCTAACG